ATAACTTAAGACCCTTCTCCCAAAAAGTTGGCATGTAGTTTGTTCAACCCTCATTTCTTGGTTTGAAAAGTAAGACAGCTTTCTGGAGGGTTAGCAAAGAGAATAATTTACCTAGATTCTCTGCGAAATTGTGAAAAGATACAAAAATGTAAACCACTGCCATGTTACCTTAAAAGAGCACTGACTTTGATGACAAAGATCTGGGATGCGAGCCCAACCAATCTGCTGACTAGCTAAGTACACTCAAGCAAGTCATTGTACCTTTCTGAGCCTTCATCTCCTCATCTGTAGAGGGATGTGGGAAATGAGAATATACTGAATACTTGTACTGGGTGCTTTTGCTAACATAAGTGAAATAAATAATTCACTCATGGTTTCATTGTAAGGATTGAATAAAAAAGAGTGTAGTAACCATAACTGTTATAACAGTGTTATTGTCACCATCATTTTTTATATTAAGAGCATCCATAAAAACAGCATAGAAAAGTACTGAGAGCAAAGACTTCTGATGTGTTTCTTTTTTTTTTTTTTAAGATTTTATTTACTTATTTGTCAGAGAGAGACAGAGAGACAGAGAGAGCACAAGCAGGGCGGAGCGGCAGGCAGAGGGAGAAGCAGGCTCCCCGCTCAGGAAGGAGCCCGATGCGGGACTCGATCCCAGGACCCCGGGATCATGACCCGAGCCAAAGGCAGATGCTTAACTGACTGAGCCCCCCAGGTGTTCCTGATACAATATCATAAGGGTGGCTCTGTGGCACAATGGCCGGCACTCTGAGCTTCTATGCTGCAATATTATAGATTGCTCTAATGAGCTCTGCTCTTTCACTGAGCTGTGAGGCTTGCATGGGACATCGAAATGCAGTCATGTAAAGGAAAGGTGGTCTTTTTTTTCATCCACCCTACAATTTTCTACAGTGTAAAACAGTGGAGGAAGGATAGTCTTCAATTCAAATAGAAATTTTAAATCAGAAAATTTCATTTCTCAGTTTAAAATGCACAAATTGGGACCTGTTATAAAATTATTCACTTTCGGATTCAATTTGCTTCAAGATGAATGGCTTTTTACTCTTTAATTTTTAGAGTTATTTATATTCTAGATTTATGCCATATAATTCTTTCCTTATTAATAGTTGAAGATTAAAAATCTCTAAAATGTGGCTATTATTAAGTTATTTCTACTCCTAAGATTTTATTTATTTATTTATTTTGAGAGAGAGAGAGAGGGCAGGGGGAGGGCAGAGGGACAGGGGAGAGAGAATCTCAAGCAGACTCACCCTGAGTGCGCGAAGTCTGACATGGGGCTCGGTCTCACGACCCTGAGATCATGATCTGAGCTGAAATCAAGAGTCGGCTGCTTAACTGACTGAGCCACCCAGGTGCCCCTATTTATATTCTTAACAACTTAATTTTCCTCATGCAGGCCAGCGCCAAAGACACAGGATGTCTGTATGCAGCAATACATCATCGGCTGGTTGCACTTCGAAGCTTCAATAAACAGAAAGATGTAAATCAAGCTGAAAGCCAGTCAGAAACAAGCCTCCAACAATTAAACTGCGAAAGCTGTGATGAGGATGAGGATGATTTCATCCAAGTCACTAAAAATAGATCAGGTAAATAGCTTTTCTTTTCTTAGGTCAACTGTTTAAGAAAGAAATCTTCTGCACAATCCTAGTATATGAAATAGATTTTTGTAAAGTGGAACTAATCTGTTTAGAGTGGATGGGAATTAGAGTCCTAGCTCTTTGGATCAGAGGAATGGGTTTGTAAATCATTGTCTTCTATCTGTGGCCTTCATTATGATTTTGCCAAAAGTCATCCCCATTGTGATGCCCGTATGTCATTTGCACATAAACTTAATAAAAATACCATAAAGTCTTACACTGATACACTGAAACTAACCCATTTGTTTCTCTTCACATGGTCTCATTTTCCTATTATTGGCTATAATAGAAGAAATTATAAATATATCATAAAGGTAAAAACACATTGCAATGGAGCCCACCAGACAAATATGGCTTGAAATACCGAAACTCTTATTTATCTCCTTTTTGGAATTGGACTGCTTTATTCTCAAGGACTTTTTTTTGCCTAGGGCAAACAGTATTATTTTTTTTATTGTGTCTGGATTCATGAGTTGAGCAAGGTTGAAGTAGAACCAGTATTTAGCAGATTTTTAGGTTTCAATGCTTATCCTGATGAGTAGATTTAAAACAAAAACTTATCATTATTTTTGGAGAGAAACATTGTCAAGGAAATAATAAACCCACCTCTGTTATATAAATGGTGCCAAGTATTTTCAGTAATAGTTTCATTTAGGCCTGAATTCTGCTCTACAGAGAACTGAGTAACATACTTATAAAGACAGTGTGTTAGCAAGCATTTTTGCAACTTTTAATCATTTTAAATCTTAAAGGTAATTTAATCATACATAATTTAAGAATCTATCAGAGTACAAGTGCAAAACTTGATGAAATATCTTCCTTTGCATGGGCGCCTGGGTGGCTCAGTTGGTTAAGCGACTGCCTTCGGCTCAGGTCCTGATCCTGGAGTCCCTGGATCGAGTCCCGCATTGGGCTCCCTGCTTGGCAGCGAGCCTGCTTCTTCCTCTGACCCTCCCCCCTCTCATGTGCTCTCTCTCTCTCTCTCATTCTGTCTCAGATAAATAAATGGAATCTTAAAAAAAAAAAAAAAAGAAAAGAAATATCTTCCTTTGCTTAATACTAAAAATGTAATCAAGAAGAAAAATGCACAAAATATGCAGATCAGGATTATAAACTGCTTGACTCAGTGAGCCAGAGAACTAAGTGAATATGATTTTTCTTGTCGTTCTTAAACAAATGGTTTCTTATTCTTTAAAATGTGTGAGATGTATGAATAAAATTATCTTTTATAATGTTTATATTGTCAATAATAAAATGGGGTCTATTAGAAAATGGATTGGTATCCATTAGAAATGTTAGCTTGAAATAGGATTAAATGGCAAAATTCTCTCATCAACAAAAGTCACACTTAGGAAATCTATATTTTATTATATTCCATTTTAGGAAAGAGTAATATGCAACTATCCTCATACAAAATGAGAAACAATGGAAATAATGCAAAGTAAATGTCAATCATATGAACCCACCCTTCCTCTGCCATTTTTCCCTTTTCATTTAGTACTTTCTCTAGGAGGTGTGGCATACAAATGCTGAACTGTTAGGAAAGCAATAAAAAGGCTATTTTTTAAAACTTTGTTGCCCATGAATCAAGGAAGGGTTTAATTATCTGAAATGTCATGTTTAAAATTAGCAACATTTCCAAATGTTACATATAAAATGTATATTCTATATATTGCATTTCCTCACAGTAAGCATATTCATGCATATTCATGTTCAGTTGTGTTCAATATTAAATCTAATCTGAATATAATTTTATAATATTTTAAATTTATATCACAGATCCTTCTAGGTGGACCCACAGACAGTCGGTTGCCTGTTCATGAACGCTATCTACTATAAACGTGACAACATCTACAAAAAGATTGGTCATCTTACTGAAAATACTAAGCCATCCTAACTAAATGAGAAGATCCTATTCGTTCCTTGAAGAGTTTTTACAGCACAGTTCATGAAAGATAATTTGTTGCAATTAAGATTTTTCTTTTATATAGTCTAATAATTGCAAGGTTTTATATTTTGATTATTGTGGAGAAAATGACAGAATTTAAGAAATACACGGACTTTGGAAGTTCAAAATTTATCATTTTTGAAGAAGCTAATTTAGAATAGGATTTGATAACTAATTTGGACTATTCATCACATTGGTGGATATAATAGTTCAAATAAATTTCTGGATTTCATAAATATCTAACTAAAATATTTTTTCAGTCATACATTGCCTGGTCATAAAACAAATATTTTACAAGATTTCCAGTCATTTCTTCCAAAACACTATATCTGCATGCTAACATTTCATTAAGTCATGTTTCTCTTCTGGGAAATGTGTATTTTCATTTAACCTTTGGATTTACTACTACTATAAGATTATATATTCATGGTATGAATTCCTTTAAAGATAGTGTTGTCTTGGACCTGTATCCATTGCACCTTGTGTATGCTTGACTCCAGTTCAGCATCCAATAGTTGTTGAAGGGATGAACAAAATACATTAACTATGTAACAAAACAGTAAGTATACAAAAAGTAAAATATGTTAACTTGTTCTTTGCTTTATGTAATTAGATTGTCATTAATAGTCTAATGGGTGTAGCTGTATAGAGACCTTTTAAAAAAAACAAATATATTCATATATACCCAAATGAATTTTTTTCTTAAATGCTGTTATTGTGGTAGACTGTAATAATTTCAGCATTTGTGCAACAAAGTTTTGATGCTCCTCTTTTGAGATTTGTCTCAGAGACCCCTTATGAGTTACACAGAAAAATTAGTGCTTCTAGGCATATTTCGTTTTTCGATCCAGTTTGATCACCCCATGACTTCAAAATGACTTTTGATCATGATTCCTAAATATTCCCTTGTTAGAGGCATCTTAGCCTTCTCAGGGTGTCATAACAAAATACCCCACTGTGAAGCAGTTATTTTTCACAGTTCTAGAGGCTGAGAAGTTGAAGATCAAAGGGTCAACAAAACAGGCTTATTCTGAGGCCTCTGCTCGTCGTTGTAGGCTGCTGTCATTGCCTCGCGTGCTCGCAGGACCTCTTTGTGGGAGCACGGGCAGAGAGAGAGAGCAAGCTCCCTAGTGTCTCATCCCATGAGGGCGCTAATCCCATTAGACCAGGGCCCTAGGCCCTTAAATTTATCTAACCCTAATTACCCCCCAAAGCCCCATCTCCAAATTCTATCACATTGGAGGTCAGGGCTTCAACATACACATTTGGAGGAGAACATAAACATTCAGTCCATAACTAGGGAATAGGATTTATAATTCCAAAATGATTTCCGAAGATTTTTTGAACAATGACAACATATTTGGAATAATGGGTCTAACTTCACTAAATGTTACTTTGAAGAACAATATTCATTTGGATATATACATATGAATACACATTTTTTAAAGTTACATTATTTTGCTACAGCACCTTTTATAGTAATAAAAGCAATTATTTAGATATAGATAGATATATAGATTCATACATGCATACATACAGTATGTATGTATGGTATAGTATGGTATAGTTTGGCATATGAAAGTTCAATTAATTCTTTTCGACTCTAATTTGGTTAGTATGTAAATTATAAATTATATAAATTATTAGTATATAAATTAGTATATAAATTGTTCAAGTTTTGCTCTTTCCCTATAACTTTTACTAAGTTAGTTACTAAGAGAGGCTTATTCATTCTAGTGACTATAGAAGAAATACAGCATCCTTCTAAAGTAAGCAATGATTCAGGAAATGGAAAAGAAAAATTAATGTGAGAGAGGAATAGAGAAGAGGTAGAGAGAAGGGGGAAAAAAATCAAAGAAGAGCTCTAGCATAAAAGGAAGAATAAAAACAATGAGAAAACAAAAGTTTAAAGTTGGTTGGGTTTTTTAACCCCAAAAAATGCCTCTGATACAGAACACAGAGGAAAATTTTCTTTAGAAGCAAAAATAAACAGAAGACATCTGGAGAAGAAATGAAAGAATTGGTTCTCTTTTCCTATAAGATCTTAGTTGATATGGGAACACTGTGATTGCACTAAATTGTTAAAGTAAAGCAGAGAACAGAGATCTTTATCTTCCTGACATGTTCATTCTTGTGCTCACTTTAGGGTGGAGATAAAGCAGTATTTCTCAATGCCTCAAATATTTTAATATCATTTGAATTCATTCTTTCTTTCTTTGATTTTCCTTGTACTTCTCTTCATATACAGAGCAAAAAAAATTAGACTACTTCAATTACTTATCTACACATTAATGTCAGTGCAACAGAATAAAAAATAGAGTATCAGGAAGGCAGAGAGAAAAAGTGAAAATTTCTGGATTATGACATGGTTACCAATGCAGAAACATGATATCTAGCTTGTGACTTTCAAACCATTTTCTATCCACTCTACTATTCCTTTTTACAATCTTTATGCAAATATTTAGTAATATTTAGGAGGGGATAATAGAAGTAGAAACATCTTATAGTTTCTCTTTGTCCTATATCTTCATCTAACCTTCTTCTTTTTGGCTTTTCTACATATGTTGACCTTTCTGTAAGGTGAAGAGATCATCCTACAATGATAATCATTTTCATAAGTTATTAGGTAGATGATTTCAAAGCATACATCTTAGATTTTGATAGAAGCTGCTTTTTGTCAGGGTGCCTGGGTAGCTCAGTCATTAAGTGTCTGCCTTTGGCTCAGGTCATGATCCCAGGGTCCTGGGATCAAGCTTCGCATCAGGAAGCTTGCTTCACCCTCTCCTACTCCCCCCTGCTTGTGTTCCCCCTCTCACTGTGTCTCTCTCTGTCAAATAAATAAATACAATCTTTTTTTTTTAAAAAAAGGAGCTGCTTTTGTCAAAATTTACTGAAATATTTCCCAAATATACTAGATATATATTTAATATATCTAATTATATATCTTATACTCAAGTAACCTTAACATTCTTCTCTTTCAACAAGACTTTAGACTCTACCAAGTTATTCAGCTTAATTATGGACCATCAGAATGTTCTCTTGTAAAATATTATTTTACATCCATTACTGTCAAAGCCAGGAATCCTTAGACCTCAAGGATTAATACCCTATACAAGTCTTGGAATATGTGGATGTCATTTTTAAAAAAAGGGTGTGTGTATCTTTCATAGAGTCAGTATGTACATGAAATGGGTTGGAAGGATACATCTTAACCTTTGTAAATCCTCAAGTTGTGAATATCACAATGATACATAATTTTTCCCATAATATGTTGAGAACAAATAAGCTTCTTGAGATGTAGTTACCAGGTGGTTGGGTAAGCTCACTCACTAGAAAAGTGTATCAGCCCTGCCAGAGATGGGGTTTGAGTTTTTGAAACTCAGTAACATTACAGATTATTTTAGTAGTTTGAGGGTTTTGAAATTCATATTAAATCCATGAATGTAAGCACTTCTGTTTGTTTTGCAATGGACAAATCACACCCACAGTACTGCATGATTTTTGACATCAGACTTGGGAGTGGACAAACTGGAATACATGAACACATTTAAAGTTTCTAAGATGATACTTGGAAACTGTGGCATTGGAGAAGCTATTGAAATAACTGGCAAATGTGTAGCCTAATAAAGACTTGATGTAATAGTTTTCAAACAATTGGAAGTTTGCCAAAACTTCTTAATTTCTGTGAAGCTAGTGGATATAAAAGACTATTTCAGTGAAATTACCTTAATTTGTATCTTTTTAATTTCTAATAAGGTTGAGTATCATTCAGGTATTTATTCTCTGGTTGTTTCTTCGAAGAAATTCCTGTCAAAGCTAAGCATGCCATTTTCCCATTTTAGTGGCTTCTTAGCATATACAGGATAAAATCCAAGCTCCTAAGCACGCCACTTTCCATGTCTTTCCCCTGTCTGCCTCCCTAGCCTCACTTCCCACTGTGGCCTGCCTCCCTCTAAATTCTCTAGCAATTCAGAACTGCTATTTCATTGCTCCATACTTTTGCTCATGCTGTTTTCTCTGTGGAAATCCTTAGGATAACAAGGTGTTGGAAGAGTGAGAAGAGAAAGGATCTTGAGGATGTTCAAGTTATACACGAGTAACTCACACCCCACAGAAGTTAAGAGATGTGCTTAAATTTCCATTCCAAGTCACTACTAGCACCTGCTGTGAGGCAAAGTTCCTGACCAGAAGGGATCAGTGACCTACTAAAAGTAGACATCAGCCTTCATTGTGTTATTTCCTATTCTAATATACTCTCTGGCACACAGTAGGGACTCCATAAATATTCAGTGAACCCATGAATGAATGTTGTTGGTGGTGGATAGCTAAAAAAGGAAGAGTCCAGATTCAGGATCAATTTGGGCTTTGAAAGAACCTTGGTATCACTCTAGTTCAACACCCTCATTTTACAGATGAGGTATCTGAGGCCCAGAAAGATGAAGTGACCTGCCGGAAGTCCACAGGCTAGTTATTGATAATGCTAGGACTATAAAGAAGCAAAGAGGGCACCCAAGCAAGTGGATGTAAGGAGCAGGAAGGATGAACAGTAGGACGTGGATTGCCATTTGATTCTCCCCTTGTAAAAGGAGAGTTTTCTTCTACTTCCATTACTACTAAGTCAACCCAGGGCCAAGTGTAACTACTCCAACAGCGCCAAGGCTCCCTCCTCTTGCCTTCCAATCCGCTCAACAGTCCCAAGCCAGATAAACAGTCATCATCGTTTTCAGGACTCACTTCTTTCCAGTTAAGAGCCTTCAAAAGGCTAACTACTGCCTATAGAATGAACTCCAAATTACTAACATTCTTACCTTTCTCTATTGACCTATCTACTTTTTCCATCTTATCTCCCCATCTAGAAATGCTCCACTTGGCCAGATTCCTCTACCCGTTATCCTCTAATTTCCTCAAAGCCTACCTGTCTTTCTCTCCCTGGGCTGATAGTTTTTTGGTTGTCCGCAGGGGCTATTACTTGTGCAGTCCCACAAGGCACCATGTTCAGATGGGCCAGGCACTCGGCTTAGTGCTTAGTCTTGCAATTCTTAATACTTCCTGAGCAAGAAGCTCTGAATTTTTATTTTGCACTAGGCCGCGCAAACTGTGCAGATGGTCCTTGGTCAGTCTCCCTGGCCCCCAGCCCAGCGTTGGTCATATCGGCCATCCGACTAGATTTGGTTGAACGAAGGAATAAAGAAGCTAGACTTGCGCGCAATAATGAAAAGGTCTAGTTTTACACGGGCCGATAAAGTGCAATAATGAAACCCAAGCGAGGAAGTGCCCAGAAGCACCTGCTCTCCCGCCAGGCGCTCAAAACCCCACCCGCAGCCCCCGCGCCGCTTCAGACCGGTTCTAGCTGGATTCCTAAGGCAGCTCAATCGCCAAATAGAATTCCAGCCCTTCCTCCGGCCGCAGCCAATCCCCACAGTTCCTCGGGCTCCGAAACCGCTTCTGGCTCTGATTGGCCCACAGAGTTGGGGGCGGGCGGGCGGGTTTGGTGCCCACCCAGGGAAGGGGGTGGAGCAGGAGGTGGGCCCCCAGGCGGCGAAGCGGCCACTGCGCAGGCGTGGATGGAAACGGATACACAAACAAACAAAACCCACCACCCTGAGGCCTCTGGCTCTTCCCCGCCCACCTTTCCCGGGCTTCGGCTCTCCCACCTCCCAGTCGCCGGCTTTCCCCGCCCCCGTCAACGTCTGG